CAAAGGAAGCGTGTACAGCTTACGCCATACGTACGCGCATCCGTGTACCTTACGTATTACGTATACGACATCGTGTCTTTCTCTCTCTCTCTCTGTCATCTTCGCTCCGTAGCGACGGACCGCGCGATAGGATGCGCCCTTTAATTTTCCGCTGGGTGGGGAGGACGATCTCTTTTCTACTTTCCTCGAGTAGCAAAGAGGGATGGGAGGAGAGAGAAGGGCGCCGAAAATGCTTCCCAGGCCTCAGATGCAGCCTCTCCCTCTTTCTCGTGGAGGCGTCTCTGAAGTGACTTAACAATCCCCAAAAAATTATCTAATGCTGGTCCTATGCGCTTCAGAGGCCTCCTGGACAGTGTTTCGTGGGCCCGTCCATGTATCACGATCAGCCAATCTGGGAAAGAGCTAGAAAAGTTTCGAAAGGATGTGAGAATTAATTTTTTTTATTAAGCTTCTGAATTCTGTATTTTATGCCAAACTATTTTATTTATTAATAAATATAACAAAAATATATATTAGAATTTTGTCAGAAAAAGAGAGAAAGAGAGAGAGAGGGAGAATACGAACGGTCTTAAAAATAGTAATGCGATAGCTTAAATTTTAGAATGTCTAACAAAAGATATTTTATATGATTAATTTGATAAAGTATTTTTACAATCTTTTTTATACGAAAAGAGGTCAGAATCTTCTCCTCGAGTTAAGAATCGCGGTGCTAAATTTTTCGACTTTTCGACATTTTCATCGGCAATGAAAGCAATGTAACGACATCGTGATCGCATCTAATTGATATTGATCTCGACGTTCAGAAGAATCGATTACTATTATTGCGATTACCAAACGTATGTAGTGCAAAAAGTAGCAGTTTCGCAATAAAGAATAATGAGTTTACGGCACGCAAATCAACGGCGCAAGTTTAAACCCGGCAGAATGTATCAAAGATTCTTTATAATAATTCTTTATAATAATTTTAATTTCTTTACAATGTCTTTTTCTTTATCACGCCCGTCTTCAGCGCTTATCGTTCTATTCTATGACCTTTTTTCGTTTCTATTTAAATTTATCTATATAATTTAGCAGCGAATAATTTTCCGAAACAATTTGTCGTTTGCTTGACCCAAGGAATTTATTCGAACATGTTAGATTCGTGGCAGATGTGTATCGGGCCCGGATACGGGAAGTATCGTGTATGTATTTGCGCGATTATGTGCGGTACTTTATTTAGTGCGCTGAACGAACGCGAGTAACGTGTGTAAGTACGAGCGGTAGAGAATGTCTCCTCCGGTTAGATTACCCGCACCAGGTGAATTAACGAATCCAGATCGCGCGAGGAAAGTTTCCGACGCGCAATTTAGCGAGTGCCTCTCGCGGGCGCCGCATGTCGAGAGGACCGCGCATTTATACGACGCGCTCGCGAATTTATATGCGCCGCATCCAGTTTGTATATGTCTTATTTACGGCAGCGCTAGATAGATAGTATCGCCCGTTTCGGAATGTATAAGTTATCAAGCGGTTTATTACGAGCACACACGCTAGAACACGCTTTGACGCTCCTCCTGCGCTGGCAGATGGAAGGAGAGAGCAAGAGAGGAAGAATGGCAGACGGAGGGTAGAAAGAGGGGGGGGGGAGAGTGAGATGGAGAGAGTGAGTGCACTCTCCAAGTGCACCTCGCACGTATCTCTAGAAAAGGCAGCGATCCGTTGACCCGTGTGAAATTCCCACATTCATTACCGCGGGGCCACTGTATTCCAGACGACCGCAAGTTCATAGAATTTTTCCGCGCTCTGTGGCTCGGTTCGGTGGCGTGTTTCGCAGACAGCACGGTTCCCCAACAAGGCACTCTTTCCCGGTGGCCCGCAAGGAAAATGGGCGAGTGAAAAAGGGATTAATAGAAAGCCCATTTTCGGCTAATTATGAATCTCTAAAGTCCCTCCGAGTCTTCAGAGTTGGAGATGGCCTTGAAATATTTAACTTTCTTCTTCTATTCGTTTCAATTTGTTTGATTATGTCCTTGATAAGAGTTGGGATATAAATACCATAGTAAAAAATTTTTCAAAATTTATAATCATGTTAAAACGTGACGATGTTACATTTGCATTAAAAAATTATGTTGTGGATTTGGGATTATTAAAACAGCTTAAATAGTATCTGAATAATGTTAAAAAGTATTAAAAAGATTTCAATCAATTATATCAATAAAAATAATACAAAAACAATACAATTTCTCTAATTTCAAAAGTTAATGTAACTGATGTAA